ATTTTTATCGATCCCACCAAATGGTCTTATTCCTTAAAAAAACACTATCTGAACTTATCGATCCCACAAAGAGACATAATCTTTGGCTGAGCAGTATGATATAATGACTTAATAGTCCCTATAATGAATATATAACCTTTTTATCATGTACGTTTTCACCATTTTTTATCATGTCTACCTCTATTGCTTATTAACGAGAAACTGAAAATATTCATACGAAAAATACCTCGAGTTATTCCCTATGAAAAGTGGTCATTCTAGCAACAGTTATTTAAATGTTGAAAAAAAAAGACACATCATTTCTTTACAGTTCACTATATATCATAAACAATATATTCACATATTCTTTGTGTTGCTCAGGAACTCCTAACAATAAAAAGTAAGTATATTGGGAGAAAAAATTAGACGGATGGGGCATTGCCAGGTGCTTGTACACAAACAGTTCGTCTCGATGGGAAAGATCTATTAATCCTTGAATAAGGATCGATTATGATACTTACTAAAATCTACTACTGGAATTTTCCTGCATCTGCCATCTAATCTAATTTTTGTTTGATATTCTTACCATGAAATGATTCTCAAATGAATTTGCTTTTTACAGGATGACATTAAGATCGTTCAGTCTCCTGGAATAAGGTGATGCCATCACCATCACCATCATCACTTTAACCTAGAGATATATTAGGAAAGAGACAAAGTATTGATATCATTGAGCCATTGCCGATGAAAAAAGCAAGACATGCTAATAGTATAGTGATCTGATGATCAAAAAAATAATGAGCCTCACCCCACCGCTGTAATTGAAATAATGATAATAGGATCAATCCCGAAACTCATAAACATTTTGAGCAAGATTGTGGTGCGTTACATGAGAGGCTAAATGTAGTTCACCTTTGGCACGATAAAGACTTTGCAAATGTTCAGACTGAAGAATATTTCGGAATTATAGATGAGCCAATTTTCCTTTTTAATTCTTTCCACTAATTAAACTATCTCCGTTTCTATCGTATTGAAAACATCTGAAACATCCGACCAACTTTCTGTTTCGAACGAATATTTGGTTCAATTAAAATAGAAAAAAAGTTCAAAAATATTCACCCTTTTATTGTAAAAACTTCTATTGTACATTTTTAATCTTTGTAATCTTTTTATCTAGAAAACTTTTATTCTAATTTTTATTAATACTTTTGAAAGCTTTATTTTATTAATATCATCTATTCAGAAATTTCTCTAAGAAACGGATAAAAAGTAATTTTAATTTTTTTAATTCGCATTGATAAATCTTTATACGATTTAAAACTTTGCGATGGAATAATTCACATCGCTATGAAAATTTACCACTAAAGTTGTAAATTGATTTTAAAATTACAAGGGTTTGAATCCTTAACAGTAATCAAAGGTTTTTTTTTAATAAGAATAGAGATTCAAAAATTAATGTATTTTAAAGAAATTAATATAGAATGGCGGGAAATGTTATTGCTTTTGAAGGCAGGACTGTATTCTTTTTTATTTTAATTGTTTTAATCTAATGAACCGGTCAGGAGAGAGTGAAGGATATTATGTACTAGGCTATATGAAGTAACTTATTTCAGCCCCCAAGAATCATTAATTAAGTAAGTATATGCGAATTATTTTCATTACCTTTGCATAAATGAAAATTAACTTTTTCAAAAGATTTTTGAAAAAAATGGAATTTAATAAAAACAAAAAAAATAATTCAAGCTTAGGGTTGGAATTACGTTGTAATTAATTTTGAAATTAACCAATTAGCTTAATTCATTTCGACAAAATATAATGAATTATTTTGTATTCTAAAATATTTCAATAATTAATAATTTACATTTTTTGTATACTAATTAATCTATACGAAATCATTTGGCGTTTTCCGTTTCAAAGCAGACTATTTAGTCATTCCGAATTCATTTTATACTTCTAATCATTAATTAATAAATTTATTTTCGAACTTTTCGTTTCCAAATTTGAGTACTATTTGATCTATTTGAATTTTCATAAATTCAATTCAGAAAAAAAAAATGTTAATCATTGCTCTGGTTTGGAACATATTCGAACTCGAGTACAACAATATTTTTAGAACTCGAATTCGAGTTTATATACTTATTGCATCGTAGTATTTGCGAATTTTGCTTTAGAATGGTTGAGGTAACATAATTTATTTTGTTTTTTCTGATATAGTACTTCAGACCCAATTACATTCGAAAAAATTTTTATCGTTATTTACTACGGGAATCATTAGTGTCTAAATTCACGATATTTCATGCGCAAGTTCGGTCCTATTAAAATACAATCAATTAATTAATTATAACAAATAAGAAATTATCACCATAGGTTTTTTCTCATATCGATGCATTGTTGCATTCTTCGCGTCATGCATAAATTACCAATTCGCTTTTTGTAAACCTTCGTGCATAAGACTTTGGATCATTGCCGGGACTTCTACTAAATCGGCGTGACATCAGTATTGTGTATAATTCTACGTTCTCATTATATTGCATGCTTATAATAAATATATTAAAAACGATAACGATACTTTTAAAATGATAAAATCAATAATTATTAAGAATTATAAACAGACTGACTGTTTACTCAGTCAGTTTTAACTTACATAAAGTATTTCGGTAAGAAAATTTATAAGAAACGTATCATCACATCCTTAATTGCAAGCTCCCAACTATGTAGAATACCATCGCACTGCACATCGACGAGCGTCTATTATGACCCAGCAAGAAGACTTTTTCTAAAAGAAATAAAAATTTGGGATAATTTCACAATGAATGTATTGAAAAAACTTACCTCTAGTATAAAATGTAAATATATCCTGAATAGAAACATATACTTGAAAATCTAAAACCAGAGCGTTACAAATCAACTGAATCTATTATAAATTACAAGTATAAGACTAATCTTTGTTACGTTCAAATCAATACTATAATCACTCATAAATATACATCACGATCAAGAGATTTTTTTTTTTTTAAAAAAAAAAAGGGTACCATCCCCAAACTGCAATTTTACACACAAACAAGAAAATCTTCCTCTCTATCCACCTTTTTTATTAGCATAAACAACTAAAAACGAAAGTGGAACGAACTTTATTAATTGAGTGAAACCTTGTTTACTCTTTGAACAAGCCTTTAACGACGATACAGCAACCACGACAATGACAGCGACAATGAAAACGACTAATATACAACAATGACACCAATAATTATGATAACTATAGATGCCTGCCGAAACCTCCTCAAAATAATTTCGTCATACCCTTTTCTATGTTTTTAATATAGTTTCGACAGTTTCGGCTTTCGTC